TATTGAGACAAAAGAGATAAAAGACAGGAGACACAATGGAAGGGATCCAGTGTGAGGTGCAAGCAGAGCGATCATGTGTTGAGGTCGTTTGGTTGTATCAGGTTTCGCAGAGCCCTGAGCTGGTGGTGTGAGCTGTGGTGGAAGGACCCTCAGCAGGTGGAGCAGCCCCTGGTGCCGTAGCAGCCCAGGCCTCCCAGGCCGTAGCCAAAGGCACGGGCAGAGCCGAGGCCGTAGCCAAAGGCCCCAAAGGCGCCGGAGATGGGCTGTCCCTGGGCATTGAGCTCCGTGCCCAGGGCAGCCCCTGCGCTGGATCCGACGGCGGAGCTCTGGGGGAAGGAGGTCATGATGGGCCCTGGCAGGGTGACGAGCACGGGGGAGGGCTGGATGAGGACGGTGGAGTCCTGGCACTGGGTGACACAGGGCTGGTTGCAGCTGTTGGCCAGCGGGGTGGGTGCGCAGGGGCGGCAGAGGTCGTAGCAGGCCATGGGTGTGGTGTGGAGGGGCCCTGTGAGGGCAGGGAAGAGAAGAGAAGAGAAGGGAAGAGCAGAGCAGAGCAGAGAGGGGGCTGAGGCAGCGCAGGGCCGTGGGGGTGCGAGGGGCGGTGTTGCAGGAGGGCGAGGCAGTGGGGAGGCTGCTGTGGGGCTGTGGGGAGGCGTGAGGGCTGCTGAGGCTGGGGCAGAGCGTGCTGGGAGAGAGGGGCCAGGGGGGCGGTGTGGCAGGAGCAGGAGGGGGTTGTCAGGGGCTGCAGGCTCACCTGGTTGGCGGCACAGAAGGCAGGAGAAGGCGTCAGGAGAAGCGTGTGAGGGAGAGAGGCGCTGGGCCGGCTTTTCTGCAGCTCCCACAGGGGCGGCCCAGCCTTGGCCCAGCACTGTCAGCTGGCGGCAGCTTGGAGGGCTTGGTTTGTGGGAGGCTTGGCTTGTTGGAGGTGTGTCAGGGAGGGCTGAGTAAACACCCAGAGCCCAGGAGAGGTGTGATGTCATGAGTGAGGTGATTTGGTGGCCCTCGTGTGCTGTGGTTTGTGGGTGCTTTGTGCTGAGTGGGCCTCCTCTTGTTGTGTGGGACTGGATGTCCCTCGGTGCTTGTGTTGCACCCAGGAATGCTGAGGGAGCCATTTGATGTCCTGGGGAGGCCACTCTCTATCAGCTTTCTAAGGTCATTCTTCCTGGGAGTGCTGTCCTAATGGATGAAGGAGAACTCCTGCCTTTATATCTTGAATGGGATCAAGAGAGAGGATCTGGAAAACCAGAGGCTGCTCAGGCTTAACTTATTCCATTCAGTGGTCCATTTGGATTTCTTAAATTTTCATCACAAGGTTCTTTGTCCCTTAAACTTTATTTCTTGACCTCCTGAAGAAATGCAATAACCAAACCCTCAGCGGGGCTCGATCCCTTTGTGCCCAGGCTGGGCTGTGACCCCAATTCCCTTATTCTGCATTGAAGCCATGAAGTTTCATAAGATATAGCCCAATATTGAAACATCCTGTACCTGTGAGTAAAATATTATAATTACTGGTGCTTTGTCAGTGGGCTCCTCTCTCCTCCTCTGTCACAGTGCAGATATTCCTTTGTGGAATTCTGTGATTCCATGTCCTGCCCCTGAGGTTGTGTCCGTCTGACCTTGGCTTTGGAGATTGAGTTGGAATTGGGAGGATTTGCATGGAAGATCTGTGTCAGGGAAACCAGAAGAAACAACCAAAGCCAAAGATAATTGGGGTGTCCTCAGTGAGTTCATGCCTTGGCACTGCTGTGGCTTTGTTGGTGGGTGTGTTGTGAGGAGGGGCCCCAAACCATCCCAGCCCTGTCAGGCTGCTCTGGGCTGTGCAGTTTTGCCGGGTGTGAGGGGCTGCCCCTTCCATCCTGTTCATTGCCCCCCACCACCTGCCAGCTCCCTGGGCCTGTCTTTCTCACTGGCCTTTCTTTGTGCTGCGCTCTGGGTTCCCCATCCAGGGGGTCACAAGGGTTCTGTTGTGGTCCCAAAGATAGGACGGGTGGAAATGGCCTCAAGTGGCTGAAACCCTGACAGGACATGGTCCTGCCCAGCCTGGTTGAGCTGTCCCTGCTTGGGCAGGTTGGGTTGAACTCCCTGATCTGCTCCACTGCCAGGTGGGAACAGGATCAAGGGAATGTTTTCCAGCTGAGAGAGGGTGGGGTTAGATGGGATTGTGGGAGGAAATTGTTTGGTGGGAGGGTGGGGAGGCCCTGGCACAGGTCACCCAGAGAAGCTGTGGCTGCCCCTGGATCCCTGGAAGTGTCCTAGGCCAGGTTTGATGGGGCTTGGAGCAACCTGGGCTAGTGGAAGGTGTCCCTGCCCATGGCTGAGGTTGGAACTGGATGTTCTTTAAGGTCCCTTCCCACACAACTGTTCTGAGATGATTTTAAGGTGTCCTTGCAGAGGTTCCTGGAGCTGCAGTGTTTGTGACCAGGGAGGTCCCAGTTGAGTGCAGGTCAGAAAAAGTGCTGGAGATGGAGAAGAATGGCTGGGAAGAGGATGTGGGGAACTCCAGGCCTTTCAGTGTGGCCTCAGTGCCGGGGAAGGTTGTGGAGCAGCTCATCTTGAGTGCCATCCCACAGCACTTGCAGTCCCAGGAGGTGCTGAGGCCCAGCCATTGTGGGTTTGTGCAAGGCAGGTGCTGCTTGAGCCAGGTGAGCTCCTTGCAGGCCAAGGTGAGCGCTGAGTGGGTGAGGTGGGGTGTGTTTTCCTTCCCCGGGGCTCCCTGTGCGTGTGCTCCTCTTGCAGACGTGTCCTTGTGGCGGCAGCTTTGAAGGGAGAGTTGGTGTTTGGGAGGTTGTGCCTGGAATGTGCTTGTGGGGGCACTTGGCAGCTGCAGACAGTGCCTAGGAGAGGTGGGGTGTGATCAGTGAGGTCACCTGATGTCCCTCCCGTGCTGTGGTTTGTGGAGTTGTGGGATTGCATGTGCTGCCCTTGGGGCCGTGTCCATCTGCCCTTGGTGGCAGCTTTGAGGAGTTGGTTTTTGGGAGGGTTGGCTTGTTGGGTGTGTGTCGGGGAGGGCTGAATAAACCAAAGGCAAAGGAAATTGGTGGTGCCATCAGTGAGGTTCCCCCGTGTCCCTGGTGTGCTGTGGTTTGGGGGCCATCGTGAAGATGAGGCCCCAAAGCCTCCCAGATGTTTTCCCATGAGCAAACCCCATAATTAGTAGCAGAAGGTCAATGTGCTCCTCTCTCCTGCTCTGTCATGGCACAAGTGTTCCTGTGTGACTGGGGGAAATATGAAAGCCTCAGCAGTGCAGCTGCTGGTGGATCTGGTTCAGGAAGTTTTTGGGGTAAAGTTGAGGGAAAAGGGTAAAAAACCTTTCAAAAATCCCAAAAATCTACACTGACCATGTTCCCTTCATGCATGAGGTGAGTGACATAATACGCCATTTATTAATAAAACAAACCAACTCTATCACTAAAATCCTGGTTTTATTCTTTGGTCCTCTTTGTCTCTGGAAAAGGAGAGGGAGTGGAGTGCAATGTTCACATTAAAGCTCATTTATCACACTTAGAGCAAGAATATTACAAGCTACAGGACAGGCAACACGCATGGAACTGTTTAACAAACTATTACACACCTTTCTCAAAAATTTCCCACTTCCCAAACTTTTTACAGACTATCTTGTATTGCTCTATTATTGTTAATTATTAATCTGTCTGTACTCCATGGATAAAGATAGCACAAGGAGTCTTTTCCTCTCAGTTTTCCCTTTGGTAACAGGTATTCAGTGCATGGAATCCTTCCACAGGATGTGGCAGCTCCTTCTTTCCCTGTCCCTGAGTGTCCCAGGCCGTTTGCTGGATTGCAGCGTTATCTCTGAGGCCTCTGGCTGTGCAGCTGCTTCTGGCTGCTTAGGCTGAACACCTTTGGGGTCTCCAGCAGTTTCTGGGGAGGGGTCAAGCCAGGCAGCAGAAATGTCTAAGGGTCAATTGAATCAATTGTTTTCATGTAATTCATCTCTTATTGGGACAAGATTTTGGTGTCCTGGTGGAGAAGGAATGGCCCAGGAGGTGGCCATGAACCAGTGTGGGAAAAGGGACCAGAAACCTCCAGGCCAGGATTGGGAAAAGTGTTGTGATGAAGAACAGGGAGGTGACTCTTTCTGTGTCCCCAACACTGGCCATGTCCCAGGTGAGGTCTGTGGGCACTTCTGGGCTCCCTGGTTGGAAAATCACATGGAGTGAGTGGAGCCTGGCCAGGGAATGGCCACAAAGATCCTGAAGGGGCTGGAGCATCTTGGCTAGAGGAGAGGCTGAGAGAGCTGGGAGTGGCAGGAACCAAGGCTGGGCAGGGCAGTGTCATCAGTGGGGGTGAATCCCTGGTGGCAGGGAAGGGAGTGGAGGGAGCCCAGCTCTTGTCAGCAGAGCACACGGGCAGGACAAGGGGCCACTGGTAACAGGGAAAAGAGATGGAATTCCATGGGCAGAGAAGACAAGCCTTGTTTGGTGTGAGGGAGGTCACAGAGTGGAGGAGTCTCTGTCCTGGCAGATCTAACACGGAACTGGCCCTGGTCCTGGAAATCCTGCTCTTGCTGGTTTTGCTTGAGCAGGAGAGTTGAAAAACGTGCACTGCAGAGTTCCTGTCCAAAGCGATATTTTTATGACTCTGATTTTTATTGGGAGGACTGAAAAGTCCTGCTGAGTTATTGAGTTTGTGCAGTGTGTGCTAGCCCAGAGAGATATTGGCAGAGGCTGTGCAGGAGAGCATTGTTGTGGGGAAGCCTTTGGTGCAGCAGGTGATGGGTTCGTGTCATGTCCTGGAAGGGTCCCAACCCTGTGCAGTCTGTGTGTTAGTGGTTGTGATAGATTTTTTAAGAAAAGTCTTATAGCCCATTTTCCACCAACCCCAATGGCCTGTTGAATCCTGGCTTGTGCTCAGTGAGTTTGGCAGACCATTAAAACAAAAAGGAAAAAGAGTCATGAGAGGCTGTGATACAGGAGAAGTTTATTGAGAGAAAAAAGAGTAAAAAGGAAACAGCAGCCAGGGGAAGAGATCTGGTCTGAGGTGCCAGTATGGTGATGGTCAGCTGAGGTGCTTTGCTTGCAGGAGGTGTTGGCAGAGCCCCGAGCTCCTGGTGTTGGCGCAGTTGTTTGGGGGCTCAGCAGGTGGAGCAGCCCCTGGTGCCGTAGCAGCCCAGGCCTCCCAGGCCGTAGCCAAAGGCACGGGCAGAGCCGAGGCCGTAGCCAAAGGCCCCAAAGGCGCCGGAGATGGGCTGTCCCTGGGCATTGAGCTCCGTGCCCAGGGCAGCCCCTGCGCTGGATCCGACGGCGGAGCTCTGGGGGAAGGAGGTCATGATGGGCCCTGGCAGGGTGACGAGCACGGGGGAGGGCTGGATGAGGACGGTGGAGTCCTGGCACTGGGTGACACAGGGCTGGTTGCAGCTGTTGGCCAGCGGGGTGGGTGCGCAGGGGCGGCAGAGGTCGTAGCAGGCCATGGGTGTGGTGTGGAGGGGCCCTGTGAGGGCAGGGAAGAGAAGAGAAGAGAAGAGAAGGGAAGGGAAGAGCAGAGCAGAGCAGAGAGGGGGCTGAGGCAGCGCAGGGCCGTGGGGGTGCGAGGGGCGGTGTTGCAGGAGGGCGAGGCAGTGGGGAGGCTGCTGTGGGGCTGTGGGGAGGCGTGAGGGCTGCTGAGGCTGGGGCAGAGCGTGCTGGGAGAGAGGGGCCAGGGGGGCGGTGTGGCAGGAGCAGGAGGGGGTTGTCAGGGGCTGCAGGCTCACCTGGTTGGCGGCACAGAAGGCAGGAGAAGGCGTCAGGAGAAGCGTGTGAGGGAGAGAGGCGCTGGGCCGGCTTTTATGCAGCTCCCGCAGGGGCGGCACAGCCTTGGCCCAGGCCCTTGGGGCATTTCTCAGGCAGCAGCTCTTGCCTGACCCAGCCTGGCCAGTCCCGAGCTGGGCGTGTTTTCCTTCCCCAGCTCTGCAATGACCTGTCCTGCCCTTGAGGCCGTGTCCATCTGCCCTTGGCGGCAGCTTTCAAGGGACAGTTGGTGTTTGGGAGCAGTTCCGTGGAATCTGCATCTCCAGCAGGGCTGAATCAGCAGTGGAAGCCTTGGAGCATTTGGGTGTCAGCAGTGAGGTCACCCCATGTTCTCATGTGCTCTCATTTGTGGGTGTGTTGTGGAGTGTGGACCCTCTTCTTTTGTACAGCTGGATGTAAATAAATCCCTGGGCTGCACCCAGGAATGCCAGGGGAGCTCATTGATGTGCTGTTGAGATCATTGTTGATTGGTTTGGAAAGGTCATCAATCCTCCAAGGGCTTCTTTATGGTGGAAAGAGGCCTCAGCCCCTCATGTCTTGAAGGAAGCAAGAGGATGGGTGTGGAAGTGCAGAAACTGGTCAGGGTGGCCTTGTTCCAGTGTTCTGTTCCATGTCATTTCTCCCATTGACAGGACATTTACTCTGTGATGTGAATTGTATTTCCTGACCTGATCAAGAAATCCAATCAAGAAGGAACAAATTGGGCTGGATCCCTTTGTTTCCAGGCTGGTCTGTGATGTCACTGTGCTGATTCCGCATTGAAGCCGTGAGGTTTCCTGCACATGACCCATCAGTTTTAGTGTTGTGGTCCTGTGAGCCAAAACCCACAATTGCCAGTGGAAGGTCAGTGAGCTTCTCCTTCCCCCTCTGTCATTGTGTGGGCATTCCTTTGTGGAATTCTGGGATTCCATGTCCTGCCCTTGAGGCCGTGTCCATCTGACCTTGGCAGCAGCTTTTCACTGTGAGTATTGGAGGTCAAAGGCTGGAGTTGATGGGGCGTGTCAGGGAGGGCTGGAGATGTGAGGAAAGCTTTGGAGAGGTGGGGTGTGATCAGTGAGGTCCCCCCGTGTCCCTCGTGTGCTGTGGTTTGGGGGGTGTTGTGAGGAGGGGCCCCAAAGCATCCCAGCCCTGTCAGGCTGGGCTGTACCTTTTTAGCTGCACCAGACATGAGGAGCTGCCCCTTGCACTGCAGTCATTGCTCCCCTCCTTGGTTCCATCTCTGCCAGCCTGTCCCTATCCCTGGCCTTTCCCAGTGGGATTGGGAAAGCAGTGCCTGTGATTGAGGGAGGCCTCCCGTGCTCCCCCAGTCTCGTGTTGGTTCATCCGTAGCGCTGGTCTGAGCTGGGCCCAGCAAGGTCCCACTCTGGGCTCCCAGTGCTGGGCTCTGCTGGGACACGTGGGAAGGGCAAGTGGGGAAGGGTGAGGAGAACAAGCCCCGTGAGGAGCAGTGGCAGGGACTGGGGATGTTGGATTTTCAGCAGGAGAGGGGTGAGCTGGTTGCTCTCTGGAGTTGCCTGAATGGGGCTCAGAACAAGGGCAGTGTCAGTGTTGTGTCCCTGCTACCAAGCCATGGGAGGAGAGGAAATGGCTCAAGTTGCCCCAGGGGAGGCTGAGTTGCCTCTATGAGGAAGTTCCTTAATGGGAAGGGTTGTCAATTCTTGGCAGAGGCTGCCCAGGGCAGTGGTGGAGTCAGCGTCCCTGGAGGGCTGTAAATGCCGTGTGGATGTGGCACTTGGGGACATGGGTGAAGTGGTGGCTCTGGCTGTGCTGGGAGAATGGTTGGACTCAATGATCTTTTGCATTTGGTCATAGAATCATAAAATATTTTGAATTGGAAGGGACCCATGAGGATCACTGAGTCCAATTCCCAGCCCTGGCACAGGACAGCCCAGCAAACCCTCCATGGATCTGAGAGCATTTTCTAAACCCTTCTTGATCTCAGACAGGCTTGGTGCTGTGCCCACTGTCCTGGGGAGCCTGTTCCAGTCCTCAACCACCTTCACCACCTTCAACCACCTTCACCAAGGTGAAAACCTTTTTCCTGCTCTCCAGCCTAAGCCTGTCCAGACTCAGCTCCAGCCGTTTCCTCGAGTGCTGTCCCTGGCCCTGAGAGGGAAGAGATCAGTCCCTGCCCCTGCACTGCCCCTCCAGAGTGAACCCAGGTGGAATACCTTTGGCAAAGAAATGAAGGATTTACAGTGTGAGGGTGTACACAGATTGTGGTGGGATCTGTGCCCCTGGAGATGTAAAACTGAAGTGACCATGGCCCTGGGAACTCTGCTTTTGCTGGTCTTGCTAAAACGGGGGGTTGAGCACTTCTCTCCAGAGTTCCTTCCCAACTGGATAATTTTGTGACTCTGTTTGGTGGGAGGGTTTAAAAATCTTGCTGGGTGGGTGAGAGAGTTTGTGCAGTGTGTGCTGGCCCAGAGAGACTTTGGCAGAGGCTGTGCAGGAGAGCATTGTTGTGGGGAAGCCTTTGGTGCAGCAGGTGCTGGGTTTGTGCCCCGTTCTGGAAGGGCCCCAGCCTGTGCAGTGTGTGTGTCAGTGCTGGGGGGTATTTGCTGACAAAGGTGTTGTGGCTCTTGCCCAAATCCCCAGGAGCCCGTTGATCCCTAGGATTGTGGAAGGTGAGGATCTAAGCCCATGGGAAATAAAAAAGGCAAGGAGTCATCTGAATCTGTGCTGCAGGAGAATTTTATTGAGACAAAAAAGTGAAAAGGTAGAGAACAAGTAGAAGGGATCCATTGTGAGGTGTAAATAGAGCGATCACGTGTTGACGTCTTTTCGTTGTAACAGTTTTTTGCAGAGCCCCGAGCTGGTGGTGTGAGGGATGTTGTGGGGGACCCTCAGCAGATGGAGCCCCTGGTGCCGTAGCAGCCCAGGCCTCCCAGGCCGTAGCCAAAGGCACGGGCAGAGCCGAGGCCGTAGCCAAAGGCCCCAAAGGCGCCGGAGATGGGCTGTCCCTGGGCATTGAGCTCCGTGCCCAGGGCAGCCCCTGCGCTGGATCCGACGGCGGAGCTCTGGGGGAAGGAGGTCATGATGGGCCCTGGCAGGGTGACGCGCACGGGGGAGGGCTGGATGAGGACGGTGGAGTCCTGGCACTGGGTGACACAGGGCTGGTTGCAGCTGTTGGCCAGCGGGGTGGGTGCGCAGGGGCGGCAGAGGTCGTAGCAGGCCATGGGTGTGGTGTGGAGGGGCCCTGTGAGGGCAGGGAAGAGAAGAGAAGGGAAGGGAAGGGAAGAGCAGAGCAGAGCAGAGCAGAGAGGGGCTGAGGCAGCGCAGGGCCGTGGGGGTGCGAGGGGCGGTGTTGCAGGAGGGCGAGGCAGTGGGGAGGCTGCTGTGGGGCTGTGGGGAGGCGTGAGGGCTGCTGAGGCTGGGGCAGAGCGTGCTGGGAGAGAGGGGCCAGGGGGGCGGTGTGGCAGGAGCAGGAGGGGGTTGTCAGGGGCTGCAGGCTCACCTGGTTGGCGGCACAGAAGGCAGGAGAAGGCGTCAGGAGAAGCGTGTGAGGGAGAGAGGCGCTGGGCCGGCTTTTATGCAGCTCCCGCAGGGGCGGCACAGCCTTGGCCCAGCACTGTCAGCTGGCGGCAGCTTGGAGGGCTTGGTTTGTGGGAGGCTTGGGTTGTTGGAGGTGTGTCAGGGAGGGCTGAAGAAACACCCAGAGCCCAGGAGAGGTGTGATGTCATGAGGGAGGTGATTTGGTGTCCCTTGTGTGCTGTGGTTTGTGGGTGCTTTGTGCTGAGTGGGCCCCCTCTTGTTGTGTGGGACTGGATGTCCCTCAGTGCTTGTGTTGCACCCAGAAATGCTGAAGGAGCCATTTGATGTCCTGGGGAGGCCACTCTGCATCAGCTTGGAAAGGTCATTCTTCCTGGGAGTCCGTCCCAAGGGATGAAGGAGAGCTCCTGCCCTTGTATCTTGAGTGGGATCAAGAGAGAGCATCTGGAAAACCAGAGGCTGACTCAGGCTGAACTTAGTTCCATTCCTATGGTGCATTTGGATTTCTCAAGTTTTCATACAACAAGGGTCTTGCTCATTTAAACTTTATTTCTTGACCTCCTGAAGAAATGCAATAACCAAACCCCCAACGGGGCTCGATCCCTTTGTGCCCAGGCTGGGCTGTGACCCCAATTCCCTTATTCCACATTCAAGCCATGAGGTTTCATAAGATATAGCCCAATATTGTAACATCCTGTACCTGTGAGTAAAATGTTTTGATGACTGGTGATTGGTCCCTGGGCTTCTCTCTCCTCCTCTGTCACAGTGCAGACATTCCTTTGTGGAATTCTGTGATTCCGTGTCCTGCCCTTGAGGCCTGTCCGTGCTGGCCAGCTTAGGAGATTGAGTTGGAATTGGGAGGATTTGCGTGGAAGATCCGTGTCAGGGAAACCCGAATAAACAACCAAAGCCACGGAAAATGGGGTGTCCTCAGTGAGTTCATGCCTTGGCACTGCTGTAGCTTTGTTGGTGGGTGTGTTGTGAGGAGGGGCCCCAAACCATCCCAGCCCTGTCAGGCTGCTCTGGGCTTTCCCCTGTGCCTGGGCTGAGGTGTTGCCCCTTCCCTCACCTTCCATCCCTCTCCCCTTTGCTTCCACCTGCCTAAGCCTGACACTAGACGTGACTGTTCCTGCTGACTGTGCTCTGGGGGGGTTTTGGGGCCCCTCAAGAGCCATTTAAGGTTTTGATAGCT